TTTGCACGTAATTTGAATCGACCCTTGTTGTGTAATAGCCTAATAAAATTTTCCAAAGACTTTTGTAACACACTGTACCTTCGGTTTAGGAATGTGCAAATTATAAAATTTGGTATAATAAAAGTTTCAGCCTTTAATAAATAAAACTTTAAACCTGATTAATTAAAAAAAAAAAAAATCAGGAATATAAATAATTTTAATAATTTTGAAAAAAATATCATAAGTTCTCAAACGTACCGAATTCAATATTAAAAATACAATATATAATATTAGGCACTATGTTCTTCTCTCTTCGTATCGTCAATAGACATTTCATTATCTTTAAGATATCCTTTATGTACTACTCTACGCCAATTTATATACATTTTTAACATTTTATCTGTGGGTTCCAATCCAGAACCCTCCATCCAAGCATCATCCTCTTCACCACAAAATAAACGCCAACTATCTTCAGCATATTGACCCATTCCGAATAATTCTTTGGGAGTGGAAAAATCAGGGTTGGCCAAATATGTGAGTGAAAATTTAATTAATCGTTCAGCACGAATGTTTCTAAATTAAATATTAATCGAATAATTTTATAAAGTTCATCTAGTGGTGAAATTAAATATTAATTATTTATAATTTAATGATTTTTTGTTTAAAAATTTATTCAGGAATTAAAAAATTTACTTACTGTAATCCGAGAGGATGTAATAAATCCGCTATTTTGGTAGCACCGACCTTAATTGTTTTTTGTGGTGTTGAATATTCTTCCAAAAATTTCCACATAATTGGAAATGCTTGAGTACCTTTCGTACGATTTAAAAATGTTGTTGCTACAAGAAGCTAATATCCACAAAAAATTAATTATAAAATTTATAGTATTTTTTCTTTTTTTTTCATTAACAAATTAGAATTATTTATTTCATTCAACTTTAACTTACTTTCCAAGGATCATAATATAGAGTTTCCTGTACAAGGTTATATGGTGAACTCATTGGTACAAATTTTGGAACATATACAATAGGTTTCATATTCGCAAGAGTTTCAATATCATAAGAAATGGTTTTCCTATTTTTTGTAATTAAAACCGAATTCTCGGTGAAAAGCTTTTTTTCTTCCCAATCCTCCTCTTTCAAAGGAATTTTTCGTTCACTCCCTTCTGACTTTATAAAAGACTTTTTTGTAGATATAAAGTATTTTGAAACTGTATTATTCGTATCTTCAAATTTGACTACATTTTGAAAGTATGGACTTGCTACATTTGATATTGATTCTTTTTTAAAGTATGGACTCTTTTCTTCACTTTTGATCTTTTTCCGTCTCTGCTTCATAATGGGAAGAGTTAGATTATCGGTGATCAAAATTTTTAGATTACACAAGAAAATGCACGCGTCTCTCTTTACATAATCACAAAAAAATGGAAAATATGTTAACCTAAATCTTATTGTAAACTAAGTTCTTTTTGTTTCCTCGAAATAAATGAAATGAAATAAACATTCATTTTAAACTTTATTAGATAATACTTAAATGCAAGCATTATATAAATCTTTTTTTTTTGTTCCAGTGAGGCCTTGCCTCAAATTTATTAATTAAGAAAAAAGAAAGTCTCTTACATTATTACTAACGAAGATACATAACTTATCCTAATTTTATTGAAAAGATGAGACTCAGACTAACTCTAAAGATGTGCCTGCAACCTACTGCCTGACAAGTAAACTTGCCCTCAGCATGTTAAGGCCCTGTCGAACAACTTATTTTATAAACACTTGTTCAACAATTACCATCATGGACTAACCCTATCATATATTCTTTAATTATATAGTTAAAAATATTCAATTTATGTGTTTTCTCATCTATTTTACTAGTATTTATATTATTATTATCAGTATTACTATTTTTATTAATGTTTTCACTATTTATAGTATTAGTATTATTTGTATCATTTGTTACCTCCTTCCTATTTACTAAACTTTTATTTCCTTTACGAGTTTTAATACCATTATTTTTTTCCCATTCCTTAAACATAATGCATCTATGTTTCCATATCTCTTTCTGTATAAATGATTTAAACTATTTAAATGTATCATATATTAATTGATTTAGTTCTTCCTCATGCTTAATTATTGTCTATAAAAAGGATATTAAAGATTGTGATATCAGTTCCATAATTATATTCAGAAACAAAATTTCATCCTTATTTTTATGCATTTCCTTTATACCTAATTTCATTGTTTTCAAATTATTTAGATCACTCTCCAGAGAGTTATTAATGATGTAAGAACCGTTACTTCGAAGTTGTTCTATCAAGATTGTAATAAATCGGTTTTTACACAATTCTAGTACTACTGGATTGTTTTCACATGTAAAAATATACACCTGATTCTCTACTGAAAGGTCACAGCAAAAACATTTATCTGTCTTGTATATTAATGGATATCTGGTCCTAAGTTTTTGTAAGGTCAAGAGCTTATTGTTAAATATCTTCATATTGAATGATTGCATTCTGTTATTTTTATTATTTGTTTGTTGTTTTTCTTCATATAATCTTGTAGTTGTGTTCCATGATAATTTCCAATTGATTAATTTCAACTTTGTATTACTCATACATCAGGAAATTTTTCGGGGCGTAAATTTCTGTAACACAGACGGGACCCAAGTAAATTTACGCTCAAAAATTCAATTTTTTTGACTTTGGTCGCAATTTACGAGACAGGAAGCGATTTTCTACTAAGG